CACCACAACATTCTCCCCCTTGGAAGAGGGCTGCGACGAAGGGTGGAAAGTTCACAGCGCGCAAAATTGAATTAACTTTGCACATCGGAAGAGCTCCGAGTCCATCTCGGAATCATTACCAGAGTGGTGAGAATTTCACAGGACTCTCATTTGTACTCCGCCTGCGACCTCTGTCGCCCCCGGAGAGCGATTTGTGCTGGGGATTTCTGGGATCCTCGGCAGCAATTTCTTCACCATCGCATAACATGGCAATTGTTATCGGAAGCAAGAAGTTGGACCATTGCTTCCGGATAGGACACCCTCGATAGTCGTGTATTCTTGTTACTCACTCTCTCCCTCGCCTTGGCCATTGTATTTCGGCAACTTTGACTTCGGCACAACTTTCCGTCTCTCATCATCCCTTGGATGGACCGAAAAACTTTTCGCATCGACCCAAATTCTCGAGAGTCGTTGAGTCGTTTATTGGGTGAAATTGGTCAAGGTCCAGAATCATCATTACGCACTTGTCGAGAGGAAATTGGCAGAATTGGAGGGAAAAAAGTGCACTTTTCTGCCCATCAATTAATTCCAGAAAGCTGCGCGCCGATATAATCGATATCGGCAGGCGATGTGATATTTGCTCGAGGCAGAAATCCACTTCATGTATTGTCAATCCACTCAGTTTGATGCACGAGTGCGTCCGGATTGTCGATTTGTTTGTTTGCCCGAGACAACAAACTCTCTCACGATATTATTTCCACCCCCCTCCCTCCCCCTCCCACAATATTGTGATAGATCTCCGGAAAAAGCGCTCTCCTGCAAGTCAATTCCATTAGAGATATCGGAGCTTGCAATCTCGAGATTGCTCCGAATTCCCGACTCCACCTGGCGCTCGGCTGCACATTTAAATACCGAGCCAAGTCAGTTCCGGGGGCTGAACCTCATCGATTTGCTCTCAATAGACAGAGTGGATTTGTTTTTGCCACTCTCACAATGTCACCCTTGTTTACACCCACGGTGGGTTTTCGCCCAGTTTTCCTCTGTGCAATTCAGCAGGAGCTTTTTTACCCGCCGCACTCTTGATGGGATTGTGAAATTCAATTGCTGATTGCAATATCGTTACTCCGGATTTATTTCCTCTCTTCTTGTCTCAAATTGCAATTAGAGATCGACTTCTTGTCCTTATTTGAGTTGCGGAGTAATCAACTTCGCAATGTAAGAACACTTTTCCTGGGCAGAAGAAGTGAAATTAAATAATTAAATGCCAATTTGAATAAATAACAATTATTAAGAACTTTCCAAAATTGCATAACATTTCAACTACAAAGGGAAGATATTATGATCTGAAGTGGTGTGCAGCTTTATACGGAAGTGTTAAGTAAAATACTTGCATTATAAAAGCTTTGATTTCATCAAATTGAGGCATTTTCTAAAGAATTTCGCTTCAAAAAATTGATTTTATTGTTTTTCTAGGTTATGTAATTGATTTAAAACAGATTCTGGTGATTAAACAACCCTCAAAATTATCAAATTTGTGTTTAAGTTGGGAATATTTCATTTCTCCTTTGCAAACTTGAGTATTTGTGCTCAAAATAACATCATATTTGTTGAGAAATAGCTTAAAAGTCAATCATAACCTCAAAAATATTATTTCAGTCTAGAAGAATGTCTCTTTGCTTAGGTTTTTGTGCAAATTCAACCTCAATTTCTGACAGAAACATTGTGATATTTGCTAAATTCACGCAATTCCATGTCTGAAAGACCTAAAATTAGTCCAAGAAGAATTTTTCAAGCCGGTTTCATAACCTCACAATTTGAAATAAGTGAAATTAGAGAAATGAATGTGAAAAAGTGATTTTAAAGACGTTCATAAGTGTTACAAATTCTGCACAGAAACTGTGGAAGTAAATTTTGAAAAACTGCCTTTTTACAGTCTTTAATTAACCCGTCAATGTGCGGTTAATTTGGGCAATAAAGCACATAATTAAACTGATTACTCAAAACTTAATAATAAAAACACACACCGAAATATGTTAATTAATTAGTTTTGATAATTTAACAATGACTTTATCACGCTCAAACATGTGAAATGCAACGAGAATTCTCACGAGAGACATGTTTTATTTAGCATTAATGTGCGACTAAAGCACACGAAAGCTCTCTCGACATTACGTGATATGTAGAAAATCCCTCTGTTTAAAGTCAAACTTTCGAATATATCGTGAACCTTAATCGCGGCCTCTCAAATCCATTAATCACATCCACTGAGCACTATGAAAGTGTAATTGTTGGGAAATTTATGTAGCAATTATGGATTTTTGCGGACCAATTTTCCCCAGCATCCGCCGAGAAGTCACGCGAAAGTGCACAAAACTGGAGGTCATCAAACCAAAGCGAGAGAGAGAGAGACCAAGTTCGATGATTTATACTAATAAATTGATGTTTTGGAGCGAGAAACTCCGTAATTGGCTCGGAGTGTCTTGCGCCCAAGTTTGTGCGGATAAATTTAAACTTCTCATTTGAATAGTGGATACAAATTCGCAATGAAATTAATCGGAGTCCGAATCGATAGCGCTTTTTAGGGGTGTTTTCGAGAGAGAGAGAGAGAGAGAGAGAGAGAAGACTTAATTATTAGTCGACTGAGTGTATTATATTCCCTTTCGTGGGGGTTGGGGATGAAATAAATCCAACTTTTAATTGAGATTGATTGCTTCCTGGCTTTGTCTGCCTCTTTAGTGGTCATTATTTCACTCTCAAGCACGCAATATATTTTGCAGAATGGCCTCAGACTGACTCTGCGTGCTTTTGGGGGTGATTTTAATGCTTCTCAGCATCTCCAAATATCATTAAAGAATCAACTTTTGTGTCTGCTGATCAATAAAAAGTCACTCCATTCACAGCTTCTCTTCCTCAGTCATATAAACTCCCTTCGCGGATGAAACCCATTGAGATTGGGTTAACTTTAAGCAAGGGGAAGATAGTATGCCTTCAATCTGTACACCACTTTCACCATTTGAAATTCTTAGACTCTATCCTCACTTATTCACAAATTAAAGGCATTTTTTAAAGTTTCCGGCAGATATTTTTGCTAGAAATCAGTGAAAAATGATTTTTTGCACATCTTTTCCGACCATAACCTCAAAATAGCTCTAAGAAATCTTTAAATTCCAACGTTAAGAAGCTTTCTAGATTGCGAAATCATCTGTTATGTTTTGCCAATGAACTCAAAATTGCTAATTCAGACTCGAAAGCGTCCAGAAAGTGTTTCAAATAAACATTTTCCAAATCAACATAATTATTTTTGAGGTTATGTTCGATTTTATTGCAATTTGCAGTGTTTATTGGCATCAACGGTGGCGAATAGGAATGTTAATTGCATGAAAAAGCAGAATTCTGCCTATGAACATAAGAATTGATCTGCTGAAATCTATCCTTGATTCATTACATAACCTAGAAAAGGATTAATATGACTATTTCTCAGTAAAAATCAACAGTCTTCAAAAAATCTGAATAAATAATCAATAAAAGAAGCTTTCAGGAAAGGAAGATTGTAAGTTGTTGAACACTTCCACTTCTTAAGTACTTCTTACTGAATTGTACATCACTTCTGACTGTATTATCTCCCCCTTGTCTTTGAGCGTACAAAGCATAAAAGCGCAACTTAAGAGAGTTTTATGGATGTTAAGTAAACTACTGCAATTTGAAGTGTGTGTGTGTGTGCTTCGCAAAGATGAACTCCAAGAATCAATTTTTAATGCAATTAAACAATTGCAGCGTAAAATTCACGCTTGAGTGTGAAATTCAGAACGAGAGTTTCAGCTCTAATTGAGAGCAGTGCTCGCGGGGTTTTCGTGGGAAGATGCAATATGGGTTGTTTATGAAGAAAGTCATTTGTTCTCATACAAGTTTTAATACATTTCGCACATCCACGAAGAAATACACCCGTTTTACGTGACGGGCGAGTATGTGGAATTCTGATAAATGACGCCCAACACCCAAACATGCAATTTATATCTCTTCCCCAACGAGTGAAAATGAGAATGATAAATGACCATTGCAGAAGATTCAACCGAACTCATCTCTCAATATCGCAATCTGACATTCTCCAGCCGCTGCGCATCCTTCAAAAGGACACCCCAGAGGAAATTACATGTACTTGACCGAACGAGTGAGGGTGGTAAAAAAGGGGTTCATTGTGATGTAATTTCTCCTCGTGACAAATTTCCTCCTAATTGCCGCGCCGCCGTCGAAAAGTGCGTCGGCGGGAGAAATTCCTTCGTCCTTCATCGAGCACGCAATTCCATTTATCATCGATTTCCCCTGATTTAGCCCTCAACCCCCAAAACACACACGCAAAAGGGCGCCCCGGGGCGCGACAACATCGTTAATCCCAATTTAAAAATGCTCAACGGGTTTTCCTCCCGCTTCCATGAGGAAATTTCAATACTGTGATTTATTATCGCGGAGAACAACACACACAGAACACAATTTTCATGTTTACCCACGGACGGAAGAGGCGAGTTCTCAGCGCTGTTATTCTGTCGGTCAGCGCCTGGCTAAATGGGAAAATATGGCTGGGATTGAGGAGCTTTTTGCGTGTTTTGCTCACTCTGACTCTCTGGCCCAGAAATCTCGCGTTTCCCACTTCAATTTGGTTGCTTTAAGCGTCTGGCGATGAAACATTAAAGCCCAGAGAGAATTAAACATTCTGCTTTGTATTGCTTTAAATTACAGATTTAATAACCAAATTCTCCCTAAAAGTTCAACAGTGGCAAAAACCGCACGAAATTGAGTTGTGAGCGATCAATTCGTCTCTGTTTTGCAACCATTTTTCACCTGCCACACGGTGTAGATTGACGTGAAAACGCCCTCACCTGTGACAAACCCTCCACTTTCGCCCCCTCAAACACTTAATTAAGCCCAGCACTCTTCATATTCGGCGCACAAACAGAGCGAAATTGAGACTTTTTGCACGCAAACCTATGCAAGTTAATTAATGAGAAAATCCCCCTTTTTTCCAGGCTACGGGACAATCGCGCCCAAAACCACGCTGGGTCGCGTCGTGACGCTGGCCTACGCCGTGCTGGGTATTCCCCTCACGCTGGTCTACCTCTCCAGCACAGGCGGCGTCCTGGCGCGCGTCGCCCGAGGATTCTTCTCCAGGTATGTCCGAATTGCGATGGCATTTTTTCCACCCTCCCTTCACTCAAACGTACAATTATGCCGAGACAAATGCGAAAATATTCCATCTCAATAATTCATGGCGCACGAGGAATTCCTCTGCGGCCCCGAATACCAATGCCAAGGGTTCTTTTGCGCGAGAAATTGGCAAACACACCAAGGAGTCGTTGCAACTTAAAGAATTCGTACTTTAATTCGTAAAAAATACGAATTTGTGTTCCAAATTTCAGCTCTCAAAGTCATTCAGTTTCTTAATGTATTTTCTAATGCTCTTGGAAGTCAAAGAGTTTCCTCGGAAGGGGTTGAAGTATTTCCGGAAACACATAACCTCAATTATTAAGCAATTCGCATTGAAAGAACTTAGTTGAATTTGACGATTTAACGCCGATTGGGGCTGGGAAATCAGCAAATCGGGTCGGTTGTTCACCCCTCAGCCGATGACGACTGACTTCCTTCCCTTCCGCAGAGCGCTGTGCTGCTGCCTGTGCTCCAACTGCGGCTACTGCTGCTACGACGAGAAGCGCATGGCGGAGAAGGAGCGCCGCATGAAGAAGAAGCGCCAGCAGGAGGAGCTGCGGACGCAGCAGCTGGCGCTCCAGGAGCCGTACTACGTGCGCTCCGGCTCGCTGCACAACAACCTGCACTCGCCGGAGAAGCAGATTCAGTTCCCGGAGATCGACTCGCTGAGCGCCACGGAGTCCAAGGCCAGCATGCACGGCCTGAGCCTTCTGGCGCCCATCCTGCTCTGTCTCTCCATGATGGTCATCTACATCGGTCTGGGCGCCGCCGCCATGAACCGCCTGGAGGGCTGGCCGCTGCTCGACGGCGTGTACTTCTGCTTCATGAGCCTCTCCACGATCGGCTTCGGCGACCTGGGGCGCATCCGCAAGGAGTCCACCACCACCACGTGGTTCTGCTCCGTATACATCATGTCCGGCATGGCGCTCACGGCCATGTGCTTCAACGTCCTGCACGAGGAGATCATCCACAGGATAAAGCACGTGGTGGACATCAAGAAGAGCGGCGAGGACGCCGACTTCGGTGCCTCCTGACGGTACGAGAAGAACACAAACCTGTATCAGCGAAACCCCACCGAGGAGACACTAATCACAGGTAAATCAGCCCTAACCTCAAAGAAAATCTACAAAATCGAATCTTTTAACATAAATTCTGGCATCTTATCTTATAAGATATGATTGTAAACTTGCATAGACTCGTTCGTTCCATTATTTTCCTGATTCAGAAGCTTTCCGTGGTTATTAATGCTGAATTCGCGTATTTTCTTCAATCTCTTCCGCTGCTCAGGAACGCCAACGTCGCTGATCTTCGGCCAGGAGCCGGACCTGAATCAAATGCACGTGCTGAAGGACTGCACGAACCACAGCCTCGGCCACGAGTTGGTGCCAATTGTGACGATGGGGGACGGAATTGCGCTGCCCGAGATGCTGGACAGCGTCGCCCAGATGCAGCCGCAGGCCATCGCGGCGCCCGGCGGCCTCACGGGCGTCTACACGCTGCCGGAGGAGCCCGAGCTGGAGGCGGAAGAGAACACGCCCATGTGAGACCCGAAGACTCCCCAGTTTATTTCTCCGCGAGACATTCAGGGATTTGATTGAACTGCACACGATTTCCAATATATATATATATATTGAGTACAATCATTTGACTCTTTCCGTCTCTCTTCATTGGGTATTTTACAAGAAAACACTCTGTCATGTTTTTTCTACGCATTAAGTCTCACCCTTTGACTGAAATTCTCTCCTCTTGAGGTACTCGAATGTACATAGATAGATCATTGGGACAATGTTAATGACATTTTGTATATATTCTAGTGGAAATTGCTGTTAATTCAGCTGAGAAAATATATCTATGAGGTTTAAGAAGTATACTTGACACGAATTGACTTTATCGATTTAAGGACAAAATGGGAGGGGAAAAAAGGATTGTTTTCACACCCATGAGAAGCAGCAAGAGGACTCAAATCTTAGGTAATAGTCACTAAAAGCTCCTCTTCTCACGCTGCTTCTCCACTGTGTGTGTGTGTGTTTGTGCGTCTTGTGAGGAAATTGGAGAGATTGTGCAACACAAACGTCAAGAGAGCAACAAGTTGTTGAACGCAATATTGCCAATATTTAGTCATCAGCATCAAAGAAATTACACCACAAATTCACTAGCGCACGCCAAGAGCCCCACAAAAAAAAGCCATATGAAAGATAGCAAGACCGGAAGAGACTCTTTGCCGGAACATCAGCACTGCCAAACAGTTTGTGGGCCACATTTTAATCGCGCCAATTAGCATTTTTTTTTTCGGGGAAGTGTGTAATTAATTTTTCACTTTCATTTCCGCTCGATCTCCGCACTTGATGCGCTCACTTTGGGGTGGGAAATTTGCATAGGACGAGAGATGGAGAGCAACCACTCAAAATTGCCACCCCGCCTGATGACTTTTTAACTCTGTTACGAGGGACTTTTTGAACTCGCGCGCGCGCTCCTGACTTTCTTCTCACCCCTGAAATTCTGTTATCACTTGAGATTAGGCGACGAATTCGGCGTAAATGACGAAATTAATTCAATTGAGGCGCGATGTTTGACGTGTTTCGGAATGATTTGGGGGACATTGAGGGCGAATTACGCGATGGGACTGTTAAATATCCACTAAAATTTAAACTGTAAAATAACCATTAATTCAATAAACAAACTTTTATATTAATTTATACGATACACGATGTGAATACTGGACATGACATTTAATTGCAAAATCAAATGGGGGAAATGAATATATTGTATGGTTAGAGAATAACACACAAAATAAAGGAGATTATGACAGAGACATAAACCCAGAAAAAGCTATTAGATAAAAAAAAACCAGTGGAAATTAATTAGATTCAATATATAAAACTATAAAAAATGCATACATGAGAATAAAATTGTGATAAAGTCATGCAATGAATGATAGTCGAGAGAATAATAAAGAAATGAATTAATATCGATGTGCAAGTTTCAATGTGTTTCACTCTTTGGGCTTTTTCCCACCCCTTTTCCTCCAAAGCTCTCTCAGCATTCGCGAATTAATTCAACACAGCGCGAATTCTCTGCAGCAAATGGATTTTCCCAGGGATGAATAATAATGTAAGTAATTTTGATACACTCAAAGGGGGAGATATTATGGTCAGAAGTGATTAAGAGGTCAGCAGAAGTATTTAAATTGAAATCTAATTGCTTGTCTAGGTTATGAAACTAATTTTAATCCAAACTTTAGTGACTAAATAACATCGGAAAACATCATTTTATGCACTAAAAGTGGAATAATTCATATTTCTTAGCAAATTTGAGAATTTTTGATGAAATGTTAAACTAAAGATTGATCATAACCTCTAAAATGTTACTTCAAAATACAAAATTGTCTATTTTAAGAGTTTCTTGATTGATTTTCTACTCTAAAATAACAAATCGGTGCGTTTTCGATTGTCGGGCATGATTTTACTACTAGAAAAAGTTAAATTTTTAGGTTATGTTGCAAAGTGCATCGAAAATAGCGATTAAAAAATAAATCACATCAAAATATCCACTAGAAACGTCACGTATTTCTTTAATATCGTTTCTCTGTGCATTTTTTCTGGGTTATAAAGTAAAAAGTGAGTCTTTTGTAACAATTACGAGCTAAATTTGAGGTTATGATACGTTAGGCAGTTGGAAAAAAGGGAAAAATGTATGAAAACACATGTTTTAAGAACTGCCAAAGTTCTGAAAGTGTTTTGTGATCCTTCACAAGAAATTATTGGAGTGTTAGGAAGTGATGTATAAAGTTTAGTCGTATTATCTCCCCCTTGGACATATTCAGTGCCGCGATAGTGCAACAATGAGTGCCTGAGACTAAATTGCGAGCCTTCCGAAGGAGTTTCTCACTCTCGAGAGGCTGCAGAAGTCTCAGTGTCGAGAGATCTCAATGGGGAAACTCCATCCGACGTGTGCTTTCAGCGATGGCGAAAGGCGTTGAAAGCTCAGTGTCAGTCGCATTGAGAGGTAGATTTCCAATTCACTGCACAAACACTCGCGATCTTATGCACAATATTTCACCCCCGCGCACAAGGATTTCTCAGCCACCGGAGTTTGAATGGGAAAAACGTCGCCGGGCGTCAAATGTGCGGATGAATTCCATCCACGCCAGTGGCGGAGTTTAATTTTCACACGCCTGCCGAAAGCCCAAGATTAAGTGATCAAAGTTGAGACGTGACAGATTTGCCGCCGTATTTCTCAATTTGTGTGAAACTCTTCAGCTGTATTTCAATCATGTGTGGCAAAACCGCCGTATTAGAATATTAAATTTCCTCCACAGCCATCAGTGTTCGAAGTGGAGTTTTAGGTGTTTCCCACCCACATTTTCACTAATGTGAGAAACGCCATTCGCACACGGCAATGCACAACTCACTATTCTTATCCTCGAGCCAGAATCGCTTGAATTCCCCGAAATCCGATAAAAGCTCAGAATTTGAACAAATTTCGCATATTAAATTCACATTTCCAGCTCAAGTGCTTAAATTGTCCTTTGGAAGCTGAAGAATTGTTACAAATTTGCTGCGTCAAGACAAAGAATAAAATCACTTTAATTTAACCTTATTAGAAATTCCCATGCGACGGTTTTATGTTAAATTTGCTCTATTTTATTGAAAAAAAATACCCAGAGTTGGTTAATGAATTCTGACGCGAAATTGAACACATTCTAAACGTTTCGCAGTGCAATTTTGCTTTCAAAACTAGCTTGTTAAATGAAATGGAAAATAATTATCAAGAAACGGCAAGAATTTTCCGGGGATTGATCAACTATTTTCTAAGACTAAAGCAACTAATTGAGTTGCTTAATGTTTTAATAAATTGGATCAAATAATATCACAAATTTTTCAAGCAATGCATTTCTCCGGTCATTTAATCGAAATTCTCTACTTAAAGTGATTAAATCTCCTTAAACAGAGGCAAAAATTTCAACTTTTTGAAATTGACTTTTTCTTACTATAAAATACTTCATATTTACGAATCCGGAAATCCAGTTTCTTAGAAAGTCTCTCTAGAAACTTCACATTCCTTGCGGATTAATATTCATACTCCAAAGAGAAGGTAAGTGTTCTTGCTCTTAAAGATATTTGTGCCAGTTGTGGGTGGATTGGGGGTGAAATACCCTAAAGAATTCCAATGAAAGTTTCGCCACTTCCGAAGCCAAGAATCTCGATGCATTGCTGAAGCTGAAAGAAGGAAACTTTTGGCCACAGAACACACGTTCTTCTTCTAGCATTATATGCAAATGTGTGATGTTCCAGAGGACTTTAAGACATTATGGCTTATTGTACACCAAAAGTACCCCATTTTCAATCTTTCGGGCGATGCGATGTTTTCCCATGGTGGAAATTGTCGCAACAGCGCGCGAAGAGGGCGAATGTCACGTGTGGGAGAAATGAGGGAGAAAAGATGCAATTTTCTCAATGGACGCAATGCAACTGTTTCAATGACACTTTTGGGGATTTATCCTTTTTCCCCTCCTGACGAGCAAGATGGAAATTTTATCTCCAAAAGTGCTTCTCAGTCCAGGTCAACTGGGAGAGATTTTGGAGAAGCTTCTGAGGAAAGAAGCGCGCTCCGAAAGCAATCTCCTGAGAAACATCTCAGATGAACCCCTCACTTGGGTGAATCCTGTCGAAAGTTATCTAATTAAATATCATCCGCATTACATACATCGCCATGGTGAGGAGTTGAGCAAGAGAACGAGGAAGTGTCAAGAGTCTCATAATGCTGACATTTCTATAAATTTGTGGTTTTGGGTGTGTTTTAATCTCACCTCATTTCACGATGGTTTCCTCCTTGTTTTCTTAAGGATTCCCAGCGTCAAACGTGTAATCATATTATGAAGTACTAAACACGAGCTCGCAAATACGCCCATTTCCACCCGGTGCGACATTAGAGGGAAGCATGTGGCTTCGAAGGTGTAAACTTCCTGCTGTGAACAACGTGTCGCTCTGTGCATTCGACTGATAAGCAAAGGAATCACACTGTTAAGGACATCGCAAGCTCGTCTTGCACTCAGTCGCCCAATTGCCGGAGTTTCAGGTGGCAAAACACGCCCGGGAAAGTTCTTAGCAAGAGGAACATTACTAGTGAATGTTGAAAATACTTAAATAAATCAAATTATATTCTGAATATTTAAATATATTGGAATATTTTATTGTTTTCTACAGTTGGATTTGAATTAAGGGCCAATTTTGCCTTCAAGAAGTACAATCGGAACTTCTACATGCCTTAAGAGTTTATACTGCTGCCCTCTGGCGGCAATATGTGGCGAAAATAATCAAATATTGAAATTTTGCTTAAATATTCAGAAAATAATTCAAAAATTCATACTATTTAAATATTTTTTGACACAAAAGTTAGTG